ATACACTGGAAGATTGGTGGTAGATTAAGCATGGATTAATAGCAAATTAATTTTATCTGTGGTGTTATCACACTAAAGATCTTGGAGGCCCTGGGTGGCTCTTTCAGCTTCTTGTGAGCTTGCTAAGTGTGAAACCTCAGGACTACCATCTCTAGAAAACGAAAGAAATTAGTACACAACCTCTGCTTTACTGACTGAATGTTAAATTAGGGAAAAGAAGTACAAAACATTTTTAGTTTTTGTCCTGCTTTAGAATTTTTCTTCTGTGAATTTGAAGAGTGCTTTATCTGACAGTTTTTTGGTTTTGTTTGTTTTTGTTTTTTAGTGGAGATTTTTGATAATCTGAAAAATTTACTAAACAGCTTGCCAATATGTATGGTCATCCAGATGGCATCTTGACAACAGATGCAATTTTGTAGTTAAGTTCATTTGTCAAAAAAGAAAAAAAAGTAATTTTAATTGAACATTGTAGGGTACATTACTAATGTTCCATAATACACAATTAAACATTTATTTTTCCTAGTAAAGATTCGAGTCTGAGAATGAATAATCATTTTATAGCATGGTATCATTCATATATCTTTGTAGTTAGCTACTAAAACCGCCTGTAAAGTCTGTTCCGTTTTCAGCTGTTCTTCCTGCAGTAAGATGAAATGGAGCCTCTTTAAACAGAATTTTTCAAAATTCTATATTTTGTTTGGATTAAGAGACTTTAGCAACCACTGGTTGAAGCTAGTTCCCCCCTCCTTTTTAAACAAGTGGGAGAATGGTTTGGTGGGCACAACTTACAGGTATTATGCCAAAATCTAGTAATTAACATGGATAAATAACAAAAATAAAATCTGTTTCTTAAATTGGTATAATTTGTTCCAAAGAAAATGAGAATCAGCTCCTCACATAAGTACAGCCAGTTAAATCATTTTAAATGTGTTCTGGAAGTTCATTGAAAATTTCAGAATAATTTTAGAAATAATTCATGCTATATATGAATGGATGACAAAATGGTGATAGTAGTATCCAGAGATGCCAGTCAGGATCAAGACTCATTTGTGGTGGTACTTTAATAATATAATGGAAAACCCTGATGGAACAGTTTAAAAGGATGCAAAAAGGAAGGATGATTAAATGCACTGTAATTTTACACAGGTTCAAAGTCATGGTCATTTTACATGTAGCTAGCCTACCTAAAGATACTGAATATTTTTCAGGAGAGAGGAAGTTGTAATGGGAGGGGAGACCACGGGGTACACAAATGTTTAGGATATGCCTGGTAGTGTAGGAAAGTTGAGCAGTAACGGGATGGAGGGAAATGGGATGTGCATGCTGCAGGTGAGTGAAACTTGGAAGTGGAGGAATTGTGTAGGGAGTAATCTTTTGCAGAATGATGATCAGTAAAATCTTAGTATTGGGAATCAGAATGCAGTTGTTTGGGAGGCCTGCTGTGCAAAGTGAGTTTCAGTGGTAATGAGGAGGGTGGCTGGAGTCATACTTTCAGGGCACTTGCACATGTGCGGAAAGTCTGGTCTTACACTGGAAATCCAGTGCATGGGAGGAGACTTGATTAATTGAGTCTGCTGGAACACACAAATTGGCATGCTTTGACAGCCTCGTGTGTCACATATCAGTGGCGCAGCACACCTCGCGCTGAGAAAATGGCAGTGGTGTGCTTTGAACTAAAACATGTTTGTGCTTTAGTTCACAGTGCACTGCCACTTCTCAGCACAGGGACATATTGCATTGCTGATACACGTGGCATGCAGGCATTTTTAATTAGCATGGTGCTGTGTCAGGAACACATGTAAAAATGTCCTTGGCTACTAATGAACTAGGTAGGAGAAATCACTAATACTACCTCCAAAGTGGTTTTGGGCCTGAAGTTAGTCAGAAGGGGAGGGAAAAGACTCTTCTGAGAATTGGTCTTGCTGGGTACCAGGAAGCTCTGAATTCCTGTTCGTTTGTGTTTGGAACCATTATTAGGGCTTGGTTAGGGAGTCTTAATACGTTTACCCTAGTGGTCAGCAGTTTTATGCTGAATAAAGCAGTAGACCCTAGTGACCATAAGTAGGGTGACCATATGGGACAATGCAAAATCTGGAACACATTTCCCCCTCCACCCCTCAGGCTGCAGGGAATCAATGGCATATTAATGACCAGTTGCTCTTTACTTCACAGGTGTTAACAAGCACCATGAACTAATAATTAGTGTTAATGGTCATTCCACTAATCAAGCTAACCTATTTTAGGGCAGTTTTGGTGTCCGTTAGGCCTTCCAGTTTTGGTGGAAAGGCTACTTTTTTGGAAGACGTTTATAGGAATTTACTTACAATAGGGATTTGCTTACTGAGTTTTAAAGATGCTGGATTACTTTCAAAAGCAGTGTTTCTATTAATTTCCAATACCTGCTACCTGTTAAATCCTATTTAAAGGCCGCCAACATCCTTTTCTGAAGTTTTTGAAGTGGACTTGTTTTTGTTCAGCCAAACTTATTTTCAAAAATAGTATAGTAAGCTTCCTCTACAGTATGAATCTCTCTCACATAATTAGTATGTGGGAATAATTAGAAATAAAAAAAAAAATCCATTTCAAAGCAACAGTAAGATAGCAATGCTGAAATAGTCAAAAGACAGTGGGAGGGAAACAGTCGCTATCATGAGGAAGCATAGTTTTAATGGCTAGTGTACAGTAAGTTAGAAGTTAGGTTTATTTCTCATACTGCCTCTGACTTCCAGCATGATGACTATGGGCTGCCTCCTCTGTAAAATGAGGAACTGATGCTACTTCCCATGAGGGAATTTGCAGTCTTGTTAATGTTTATGAAGTGCTTTAAGATCCCAAGACCAAATGTGCTATTAAACTGAAGCAGTACCTCTAAGAACAGGAAATTGTGAGGTATTTTTTCTGATGAAATACAAACTATTTTCTTTGTACAACAGAATTTGTAGCTCCTCACTTACAGCTGTTCTAGCCATAGAGGAAAAGATGGCTATGGAGAAAGAAAGTTAATTGTAGGTTCCTATTTTCTTCTTCACAGTTTTTTTTTTCTTAAATTCACATAACTGACTGTTGCATTCTTTGTTTATATATTGCTACCTGAAATTTAAAATCACAACCTTTTTCACAATTAAAAAAAATGCAGTACTTACTGGCTTAGCGTTTACCACAAATTCTAAAAAGTATCCTTTGTGTGACTACCATATTGGACCAAAAGGTTTGCAGTTATGCCAGTACTGTTTTATAGTTTGTGTGCACATTTCATGTTGGTGCCATACAATAGCACCTGCTTGCAAATATTTCAGATGTTTCCTAAATCTAGGCATGTCTTTTGGTCTCAAGTATTGTAGAAATTAAAGCAGATTTATGCATCTTGAATTTCACAAAATCCAGTGGAGCCATTATTTACAGGCATGAGAGATCTGCTTGTGTCAGTCTGATACAGCTTGATTCACTGAGCTGAAAAGACACTGGCAGGCTTGATCAGTCTTTCTTGTATAAAGGTAATCCAGCTACAGCTTTTCACTTTGCCTTTGCTCTTCTATATGAACATTCACCAGCTATCATGAAAAAGGATATTAGCCTTTTTGTATTGAATTTTTTTTGGATGTGTTTGGATGACCTCAAGATCTCCGCCTGTGAGCTAATCTAAAAAAGGCCTTGTGCCAGTGCTACATAATGGCTTCTGACTTTATCTGACTAATGCTACCCAGGTCCAATTTTTGCTTTGGGCATTAGGACTAACTGCTTTTACCCATCTGTGAACTGGAATACCAAAAAAAAAAAGGGGAGGGGGGGGGATAGTTTTGATAGGCACAAGGTTTAGCGAAAGCAAGTCTGGGATTTCTGCCAATCACTGGCAGGATCTTAAGAGCAATTTGCTAAAATTCATTGTCAATATTTGTACAAATGAGGGTTCCAGAGTGGAGCATTGAAGGGTTTTGTAAGTATTTTTTTTTTCCCTTTTATGTTTGCTGTTCATGAAGGAATAACGTCATCCTTTTGTGTATTAATGGACCTGATCACGGGTTGTGTTTTTGGCAAGGACATTAGCATGCATTAGGCGCTCTTGCTTCTCATTTCTATCAAGGCTTTGTTTGAAGACTTGTTTGAATCTTGTAATCAGGACTGTAAGAAATGTGATGTTTAGGAAAAATGCATATCTGGCTGGATGCTCTATTTTAGGTTGCTGAGATATGTTTGAAGGGGGGAACATGACAAAATAGCTTTCTTGCTTTTCCAACTCTGTTTTTAAGGTACTTATGCCAAGAAGGGGATTTTAAGTCACATCTGTCTGGCAAGTATGTTCATTCTTAGTACTGTGGTTAAGCATTTTTCAAACTTGTTCAGAAACATTAAAGTATTCTTAAACAATGGAAACTCCTTTAAATTTGGAGCACAATGAATTAATGAAGCCTGTTACCCACTGGTTTCATAAGCAGCATGCATATACTGTAATTCTTGTTGGAAACGCAAGTATCTGTTAAATATTTTATTGCTTATAGGTTTTAAATCTGGATCAGTTGCATTGCATGCATTATCAGTAAGATGTCCCTGTTCAAAAGAGCTAGACATCCACTTAATTTTTGATCTACAACAGCTTGCTGACCTAAGCAGCACAGAAATGCTGCTTTGCAGATGTTTCATTTAAGTTTAGTATTTACTTAAACTAGTTTGCTGTATGACAGTGACAGTTAAACACTGGTCATCTGTGGTATTACGTTTTATTTTTAATTTGGATTAAAGGCATTAAGACTTCATGCTGGTATACTTAAAACAAAAAAAAAAATGGCAACATACCTGCAGTTCTAGATTTTGTTAATGTATGCAAACAGAAAAGTAACACAGGTTTACATGAAGTGTTTACATAAACATTTTTTTCTCCTTTCAGATTTATGGTCACAACTATGGAACAAATTCAATCTCAAATGAATTGGGTGAAATGCAGCACACAGTTTGCTAACATTCTTTCCAGAAATGATGGGTCTAAGACCCAAATGGTTTGTATAATTTTTAAATCTGAAATCAAAATCTTCCTGGTTTTTCAGGTAATTTGTGACATGGGTTGCGGGGGAATCTTGCTGTTCATTAAAAGTTTAAACAGTGTGGATGCTGTCTTGCAGCTAAGTTGTCTTTGCTAAAATGTTCTCTCTTCACCCGAGCTATGAAGATGACTGCACTGTGGGATGAGGTAGTAGGTTGTATAGTTTTAGGGTCATACCCACAACTGGGAGATAACTATACAATCTACTGTCTTTCCTAAAGCAGCAGAAAAATCAACAGTGGCAACTTCTCAATTTGGAGTTCATTGTCATTGTACAGAATTTCTGTTTCAAAGGTCTTATAAACATAATGAATATAACTACAGCGTGTGATAGTTTATATATATCTGTTCTCATGAGGATCAGCTTTTTACTGTTCTTTGTTAAATTTTTCTTCCCCTTGAAGAAAACAGGTGTGCAAGAGTATGTTTAAAGGAGATACCCCCAGATTTCTGGGGAAAATTTAAGCTTATGTTTCCAACAGTACTACCAATGGCAGACGGTGTTAATGTGGGTGCCCATGTAAATGTTGTTCAAAGAAAAATAGCCGTACAACTAAGATGTATTTTCTGGAAGGACAGTACAGATTTCTCTATCAGAGTGAGGTAGTAGATTGTATAGTTGTGGGGTAGTTATTTTACCCTGTTCAGGAGATAACTATACAATCTATTGCCTTCCCTGAGGAGTAAAACAAGTCTGCAGCTCTTACATGGTAGTTGGTGTCCACAGAGATTGGCTTGCAAGTGGATTATTCAAGTTAAGATCCCACGTTATTAAGTGGCTAGGATCTGCACGTTAACATGGCATTTGACTACTACCACTCTTATCCAAGGTGAGTGACATAGCTGTATATTCAAGATGCATGGTCCACTGCTTAATCTAATTGAAAGTGTTCTGTATGTAGAAATACCTTTTGAATACTATAAAATCTTTTTGGCTAGGGAAAAAAAGTATTACAACTTCTTGGTTCTGAATTTGATTGCAGGTCTCTCAAATTTCCATGACTAGTCTAGACATCAAATTGATGTCAGCTCAAAAGTGTTAAAACATGTGCCTCAATACCACCATTGCAGCAGGGCACTAAAATGCTGTGGAGCCCAACAGCTACAGTTTGTGAATTTAAGCAATACATTTTAGGGTGAAAATATTAGCAATAAGTTTTTTTCACCTTCCAAATCTGTAAGGTGAGATGATGATGAAGTTCAGTACCTTTGCTGGGATTACTTCCTTCAGTTAACACGGATAGCATTAAATGAGCAATCCCTTTGACCCACTGATTTAAGTTTATTGGAAACTGTTAAGAACCAAGCATCCAAACATCATTCTATATATTCAGTAGGGGTGTGTGAAATGGGCCTTGCTCGATTTGGATTCGTCCAAATTGGGGACAGTGATTTGATTGATCAATTTGGATCACTGCCCCCGATTCAATTCGGTTGAATCTGAAGATTCGGTGCTGATTTAGAGAATCAGCAGATTGGTCATAGACACATCTTTAAATGTTTTTTCTACATACCTCAAGGTACCAGTGTAGCTTGTGAATGCTGTGATGCTGGGGCAGATGGGGCGTCCCACAGGAGTGCAGGGGGCCCCTTCACATGCTCAGCCGCAAACCCAGAAATGAACTGGAAGTACTTCTGGGTCTGCTGGGGGACCCCCCTGCAGTCCCCTGACTTGGCGATCGGCAGTGGGGATCCCAGGTGCCCCAAGAGGCACCAGTTGCGAAGGCGGGGCAGTGTGCTTCCTGGTGGACCCGGAAGTGTTTCTGGTTCACTTCCAGGTCTGCTGCCAAGCACACTAGGAGTCCTCCGCACTCCTGTGGAATGTTCCATGCACCCCAGCATTGCAGCATTCACGTGCTGTGCTGGTACCTCGAGGTATATAGACAAAATATCTAAAGCTGTGTCTATCCGAATCTTTCCTATTTGATTCGGAGAGATTAAAGGGTCCTCTGATTTGATTTGGCGATTTGGCCGCTGAATCAGGCCGAATCCCCACCAAATCAAATTGGGGACTGAAGCTTCGCACAGCCTTAATATTGACTCTAATTTTGAGCAGTAAAAGAACAAGCTGAAGCATAAAAGCCAATTTTGAATGGTAACCATCTCAAATGTAAACCGTGGATGAGCTTTTGGTATGGGATAAGTAACTACATGTTAAGTGTTTCTGAAGTATCTGTTAAAACTGAGGAATTAGAGTAGAGTTTAAGGTGAAAACTGAAGCATTTGAAAACAAGCATTTGACAGTTGATTTAGTTGAGATTCTTTAAAAATATCTGAGCTAATGTTTCCGTTTCTGGTTTAAGCACTGTTACTGACTAGCCATGTAAATGAATGTAAATTTGTTCATTTCTAAACATGACAGGAAGTCAAAAGAACCTGGTTTAAAAAAAAAATTAAAAAAAAAAAAATTAACAACTTGCTGCACAGTGCAGCCACTAACTAGAAGAACTGCAAAAGAAACAGTGGGCTCCTAGGAAGAGGTAGTAGGTTGCATAGTTTTAGGGCAGGGATTTTGCTCACACGGAGTTAACTATACAACCTGCTGCCTTTCTTAGGGCTTTATTATTACAACAGGACCATTTGGGCTCAGTCTAAGCTGCTGCAGCTTTGATATGTGAAAACAGAAATGGTATAAGACAAGCCACTATTCCTGATCATATTAAGTTTTAATGAAACTAAAAGGGGATGTGGTAGCAACAGACTCAAGGCTGCTGACTTTTCTTTTTTGGAGGACAAAGCAGAATTCTTGCTATATTCATAAGAGTAAGTGCTGTGATAGCTTAATCTTGAAGGAGGTTATGTTCATTTCTTTAAGATTCTCTCAAACTACATTAGTACTTTAAGTGATCTCTACTATGAGTGAATTTGCAAATATGGGAAATGCCCCTTATCTGTTGAGGGGTAACTTTGTTTTTTTTTTATAAAAGGTATTGTTTGAAGCTTCTGCTGCCAACTCCATGAAAGTTGCATGCTTTTTTTTCTAAACAAAGTAATGTGTATAGCATCTGGCCTAAGGATCTGAAAAGATGCTATAAATCATAAAGTTAACTATTGAACAGGGATGACTGTGATTGAAGGGGAATTGAAACCAGATTAAAACAAATCCAATGCTGCATGAATTTCAAGAAGCAACCTAAAGGAATGGAGTAGTGGTCTTGCACAGACTTCCAATATACGAACAACTTCATAACTGCACTACATATTAAACTTTAATTCTTGCAGGACTGTCCCATGCTACCAGAGGACAGTTGGCATGTAATCCAATACTACTACTACTGCTGCTATTGTGTAAATCTTTTATCTGTGTCACACTTCCTTTCTCAAAACACATTATGCTTATAAAAGCAGACATATTACATTTTATTTCAGTCTTGGTTTGTCCTTGTTCTCATTGGAAATATGTTAGATTGTATTGATGGAGTTCATATGACTGTATATTTGACTTATTAAAATTGTATTCTAATCAGCAGTTGTCAGTCTCTTTACCTCAGTGGGACCTTCCTTCTATAGAATGGAAAGTGAGGCTTCTGTCCCAAGATACTTTATTCTAAAACAGGGGTGTCAAACTTGCATCCCAGAGGCTGGGTCCAATTGGAGTTGCATCATCTGGCTTATGGGCCTTCCCACTGCGGGGGTGTTGCTAACTGGAGACAAGTGATGGCTGTGTTGTTCCCTGCCACAGGGCACCTCACGGGCTAGATCCAGAGGTAGGGGTTGAGTTTGACAAATCTGCTCTAAAGCAGTGGTTCTTAACCTTTTTTTGTACCAGGACCCATTTGTAAATGTCAGTAGCCAGCCACAGCCCTCCAGTTATGGGGCAGGGGGGACCCAAGCAGCCCTTCACAGGTTGGAACTGTGTAAGCCTGCAAGGGAAAAGCCACGGTTCCCTACATTTTTCTACTTTAAAGGAGAATCCATTATTTAAAATTTGTATTTATTTTTTAAGTTTGTGACCCTTTCATATATTCTTGCAACCCACTTTTGGGCCACGGCGCACAAGTTGAAAAATGCTCTATAAAAGATGCAACAAACCTGCATAATTGAAATTAAAAAAAAAAAAAAAAAAATCAGGAACATCTCTTAAAAGGAACAGAATCTCATTGGACATGTTTAGATGAGCTTTAATTCACAAACTCAGCAATACAGCATGACTGCTCTAAACTACAGCAACTTTGTCCACACACACATGCAGTGTTTAGGCTTTGCAAGGTAACCACAGTGAATACATACAAAGGGAGCTGTCCTAGCACATGCTTTTAACTTGAAGATTTTTAAAGTATCATTTTTTGTACAAAGCAGATGCCTGAAGGAGGATAACAGGAATATATTAAAGGTTAAAAGAATAGGCTCGCAAAATACTTGTTTCATCAGCTCTGGCCACCATGCCTATGATACTCACGTTGTCACATGCCACATCAATAAAGCCCCTGTTGTGGAAAAATTGTAAATAATGTTTGTAATAACCAGGGATCCTGGTTTTCTCTGACAAAAAAGGAATCTCAAATTCTCATTAAAAACCCCAAAATCCATTATTAAAATTAAAACCCCCCTGCAGGCCCCCCATAGCTGTGCTGGTACCCCTCATTGCCCTCACAACAGTCCCCTGGCCTACTCATGTCTCTTGCCCCCACCCACAGCCCCTGCCCCCATCTCCCAGAGCTACAGGGCCAGGGACCCAAGTCTGCAGCTCCCTGCCCCCAACAGCAGGCAGCTGCAGCAGCTCTCCCACTGCTGCTGCTGCCGCCTGCTTGGGTGGGGCTGGGGCTAGCTCTTGGCTCCCCCTAGCTATGAACTACAACCCCCCAGCAAGCCCTGCTTACCTCACAGGCACTAGGACTGAAGAGTGAAGCTGAGCTGGGCAGAGCTGTGGCTAAGAGAGTCTCAAGCCCTGCCCTTCCTCCTCCCCCTTTCCCTCTGGCAGGGCTGGGGTTTTCCTGCCCTGTTTGTAAATGGCTCTTGTAGGCTGGAGCTCAACCAGCCTGCAGAGCTATTTGCAAAAGCAGGGAATCCATGGGTTTCTCTGCTAAAAGGAGAAACCTGTGTTTTCTCTGTTTTTCCATGGGAAACAAAATCAGGAGCTCTGGTAATGACTGAATTTAGTCATACAGCTATTGGTAACTTTAAAACACTAAACAACAGGTTAGTGTTCTTTAGGCTTGATCATCTGACAGAGCTCAGTGAGTAACTTCATTTTACTTTACTGTACAGCAGTGGTGCTTAACCTTTTTGGCCAGTGGGCTGAATGAGCAGTGCCCAGGTCATCTGTGGGCTGGATCCAGCTGCTGATCCCAATCTGGAATGGGGCTCTTGTGGCAGGGCCCTATCTGGCCATGCAGAGGGGGGGGCAGGGGGCATCTGCTTCAGCCCCATCCCACAAGGGGATGGAGGGGTCCTGTGCCAGTCCCAACCTTGCCCCACAGGTGGAAAGGAGTTTGACCTGGCCCCACAAGGTGGGGGCAAAGCGGGCATGAGCCAGCCCCACGGGAAAAGGGACATAACTTGGCCCCAACCTGCTGCATTGGCCCTTGGGGTTTGGGAATTTGGCAGCTGGGGAGGGTGGTCATTAACTGCCACCACTCCCCTGCTGCCAAATTTCCTCATTTTGGGGGTGGAGCCTTGTAGGCCAAATGTGGCCTGCAGGCTGGAGGTTGAGCATCCCTCCTGTACAGTAAAATGTTTTTAGATTAAACAGCAATCTGGACTTCTACTGATTATCAAATGGTGACTTCTGCCTTTTATGTGCGCATTACTCCCAAGAAATTATCTTCCAAAATTATCAAAGTTGTAAAATAAGGCAAGCTTTCCATAGATGTAAATCCCACTAGCTACCTGTTGTTTTCAGGTACTTGCATAAGACAGACATACTAAAACCTTAACAGCCATGGTACAAACCAGTGGCTCAATCTTTTTAGAGTCAAGGCCAAACTGAGAAAGTGCCAGTTCTTAAGTTTTCACTTGTTTTTTGACAATGGAAAGATAATACAGCAGTGGTTGCAAAGAACTCAGGAAGACCACCACAGGTTACAATGGTTTGGGTTTTTTTAAAATACTGGATTCTTAGTTGAAATCATTGCATTTATCTTATGAATCATATCTACGCTCTTAACAAGAGTATACATTTATGTGGCAGGCCATAGCAACCTAGGGTGTGGCAGCCCCTTGGCTGAGAATCACTGGTCTAGTGAAACAGTCTGAAAATTCAGGGTAGGCGAGAGGCAAAGTTGGAGTGCAGACTGCTGCATGTTTTAACATCCCCCTCTTACAGCTTAGTCAAACGTGGGGAGAAAGATACAGGATTGAGGTTAGTAAGATACTAGTGTAAAGAATACTTAAAGAGAAAACCATAACTTATCCTACATGTTGTTCAATTACCTTGACCATTTATGAGATCCTCCTAGTAACTGATACAGGCTCTGCAATGCATAAGCCTGGTTTGCTTTTTTCCACACATATACACGGAGAGAGAGATCCAAGGATGATGTGACAACCCGGAAAGAATCCTTAAAGGTTACAAAAATACATATATATGGTCAAGATAAGGTAGAGCAAACAATAAAAAGAATGAATAGCAGTAGAGATACGTACCACCCATAGTGAAGTAATTGTGTCCTTGTGATCCTGGAAACATTGTAGTTGAGTCCCAGAGATCGAATATAACTTCAGCTCTGACCCACATCCTATAAGAATGGTTTCTGTTCCATACCCCTCCATGACACTGTATGTGTTCCAACTTTTTTCTGGTAATGTGAAGCTTGTGACCTGTTGAGCTTTTCATAAGACAACATTACACATGTAAAAATACCCCTTAAAGATTTCCGTATTGCAGTTATTTGTATTTCAGTCACATTTATTGCATTTGAAAAAAAGAATGTTAAGAAACCCTCTTCTCCCCCCCCCCCCCCAAACTCTTGAGCATGATGCTGCTATTCTGTTCCATGATCTGCACAGGGTGGATGTGCACAGATTCATCTTAAAGCAGTGGTTCCTAACCCGTTCCTTTGCAAACCAGATGTGTGGTTTGAGTTGGTCCACAGACTGGATCCCACATGCCATGATCCAGACCAGGGCCTCCAGTTCTGGTCATGTGCCTCCTAATCCAGACCTGTGCTGCTGGATCTAGCTATAAACTGCCCCAGTCCAGACCCACACTTCCCGAATTGGACCTTTGCTACCTAATCCAGCCACTGCTGCCCAAATCCAGACATGCTCATTTCTTATCTGACTTGCATGCCACCTGATCCAGTCCAGTGCCAGCCCAGTATGGCATGAAGGGCCATGTTATCCCACTCAGGGGGCTCCCTACAGGTCTGGAAATTTGGCAGCATAGGGAACAGAGAACATTAATGCTCCAACTATTCCTCTGTTACCAGTTTTCCACACCTGTGGGAGCTCCACAGGCTGGATTTGTACCAGACTAGGGGTTGAGCACCCCGACCTTGAAATCTCAAGTTACTGTGGAACATTCAAATGAGATACCAGAAATAAAATGCCTTCAATATATCTATATTATCAGTTTTGTTAATATTCCCTTTAATTTTGTAACTTGCTTTCAGTGCTGCTTTTCCTCCTTCAAAACAAAACTTAAAATATAAATTTTCTCAGACACGTATAAAATTGTATCCAAAATGCAAGATAAGGACCAATTCCTCAAAAATTAGAAAACATAGTGCTTCTACCCTTGTTTAGTTTAATAGAAACTTACAACTGCTATAATGGTCAATTGGATGTGGTGTAGAGTCTTGGAGACTATTTCCAGAGTTGAGACACTTCCTCCCAGGACAGTCTGGCAATTAGTGTGACCCAGTTTACTTTGACTACTGGATAAAATATGGCAAGACAGAGGTCTTCAGTTTGGAAGGACCCAAGTGTTTTATAAATGTCAGCACCTTGAAGTTGAACTAGAAACCACTAGGAAGCCAAAGAGAAGCCTCAGTCCCTAATACTGTATCTTTTACATTCTTTTTATTAAAAAATGATTTTGTACTGAACAAAATTGCCAAGTCTCCAACCCCAGCCAGAGTGACTTAATTAGGAGTTTTGCATCCTTAACTATAGTGCAGGAAATATATCAATTGCTAGTAAAAAGGCCCAAGGAGAAAAAGATAGGAGAAAGTGAATCTTCTGCTATGAAACATAAATAGGGAAAGTTATAAGCATACCTAGGATTTCTGATTTATATTTAGATTTCTTGACTGCTAGGTCCAACACTGTGATGTTCATCTGAAAGGCATTATCTTTATGCATTACTGCTATTCTTGCTGGCTCTTTTGGTAACCAACAAGCTGTAACATGCTCACGGATAGGCAGAGAAGTGCATATGGGCGATTTGTCTTCTGTTGGTTGAATCAAGCAATCTGTAGAAAACACCTAATATTGAAAACATACACCATTTCAGACTGCAGCACCACCTATGACAAATCTTGTGCAAGACGATAAAAATCTTGTATAAGAATTAAGAAAAATATGTTATACAGGATTACAAGTTTCTTTTAGTGATTTATTGAACAAGTAAATATGAGAGAAATAGCAGTAGCTAGGCCAGAAGCTAAGCATTCCTTTAAACAGATGTGTCAATATGAACAGCAACTAAGCTACTGTACTCCATGCTGCATCAATTCCACTTTCCTTTTGACCAGAATTAGGCAGCTGTGCTAAATAAAGCCTGCAGGAGTGTAGGTCTTGTCAACTAGAAAGAGATTACTAGAGCAGTGCTGATAAGGGAAGAGAGATCAAGTGACTTGACTTTATTTGCAACACACTTCTGGTAAACGTTTTTCAGTCCTTTGAACAACCTGACCTTTCAAAGATTACTGAAGTCATGCTGTTGCTCAAATTATCCTTATTTGAGTGACTGGTAACTCAGAACTGGCCCAGGAAAACTCAAGTTACAGTTATAGTTCATGTCTTCAGAAAACTTGTCCTGAAACAATGAAAACTTCAAGTCCCCAAATTTCAAGGAACTAACATAATGTATTTTCTTTCACACAACTAACCTGGTATTATCAAGATAGAATGTGCTTCTTGGGTTTTTCAACTAGCTGCCTGCTGTGGTGCAGTAGTGTGGGAT